AATCTGATTTTGCTTCTCGCATTATTATGACTTGTCACAGTGACTTGAAAATGATTAAATCTAATGTTCCCTAGTTGCAATGAGTATAACAAGCTGCATAGAGACTGCAGTGGATAATGAAACACACTTTCATATAAGGTCCACAGATGCACTTTTACCTACCTGGGGTCTATGGATTTGCCCATAAGTTCCATATATGGCCTCTGAGCAGCTCACAAATTATTTGATGTCTTTTTCCTCATAAGACCCCTGTGAGGCAGGGAAGCAGTCCCATTTTGCTGTGAGTGAACGAGAACATGGGGAGACATGTCTTCCACTGCTAGAAGCACTCAACACTTACCTGCTCTTGCTTTGCATATGACAAATCCAGAAATTAGTCAGTGCAGCCAGTTCAGAGAGGGCCTGAGTACACGCCTGGAGTTGCTCTCAGACTATCTTGAGTGCCCTATGTGGCATGTTCTCAAAACCACAACAAACTGGTGGCGGTCCCTAGTTTTGGAGCTTTGTGCACTGAGTAGCAATGAGCAAGCAAAGCATATTTCAAACAGCACTTCTGGGCTCACTACAGAGGCAATGTAGATATGTCCGAAGCAACTTGACTGACATCATACAGGACATCTGTGGCAGAACCAGGACTCAGGCTACTGTCCTAAACACAAGATCATTCTTCTAATCTCACTAATGATACTGCTAATCCTACCTTCAAGGAAGAAGTAGATGCTGTCCTATTTTTCTCCATGTTAAAATGAAATGCTGAAATCCGTGCTTGTTGAGACAGCTGAACAAACCATGCTCATCCGCCAGTACACAAATCCAGAATTAAATGCAGTGAATACTCAGCATGAGGCTTTTCAGCCCCAAGGCCTCTCCAGGCGCTGTATGCAGGTCTCTTGTTGGGCTTCAGGATTCTTGCAAGGTCCTGAATGTGCTAATGGAGGTTGCACATGTGATGGATCAGCAATGATTTGCCTAGAATGTTTTGTTTTTTCAAAAGGGTGACAGCCTGCTCCTCATGGAGCCCCAAATAATCCCTATTGCCTGGTAGTCTTTATTAAACCGCATTAGCAAACCCATGAGGATGTGACAGAAGTAGCAGTTGAGACATTTCCAATGCCTTGGCAATGCTTCAGTGAGCCAGCTGTGCAAAAGTACAAGCCATTTGAAAGGTTACAAAAGTGACTAAAGCTGTCTAAAATACAGCATCTTATAGCACCTACTTGAGGTATTACTATGAAGTATTTCACTTCTCATATTTTCACAGGGACAGGGACTTTATAGGTCCCCCAGAATCCTACAGCTCCCTGCTCTCCCCCTGCCCATTGCCCTCCCAAGGGGGAAAGAAGGGAGAGCAGGGTGGATAGTCTGGTAGGCTGGCTGGCAGACTGGCCATCCAGGTCCCACTTCCTGGTTCTGGCTGCTCCAGCACTTGGGTACTAGGGCTGTACAAAGCTTCGGTCCCTGATTTGATTCGGCAGAGATTCAGCCCAATTTGGTGGCCAAATCTCCAAATCTGAATCAAATCAGAACCCTCTGAATTGATTCAGAGAGATTCAGAAAGATTTGGTGATTCGGACATAGACACAGCTTTATATGTTTTTTCTATATATCTCAAGGTACCAGGTGGCTCGTGAATGCTGCGATGCTGGGGTGTATGAAGTGTCCTATAGGAGTGCAGGGGGCTCCCCAGCGTGCTTGTCAGCAGACCTGGAAGTGGACCAGAAGCACTTCTAGTCCACTTTTGGGTCCGCCGGGGAGCGCACTGGGGGCCCCCCCCCATGCTTCCCCAGCTTGGCAACTGGTGCCTCCTGGGTCTGGGGGGGTACCCAGGGTCCCTCCGTGGCCAATTGCTGAGCCAGGGAGGCACAGGGGGGCACTTCAGTGTGCTCCCTGGTGGATCCAGAAGCGGACCAGACGTATTTCTGGTCCACTTCCAGGTTCGCCGCCAAGCACGCGGAGAGCCCTCCCCACACCCGCTCCTGTGGGACGCTCCGTGCACCCCAGTATCACAGTGTTCATGAGCTGTGCCTGGTACCTTGAGGTATGTAGAAAAAACATTTTAAGTTGTGTCTGGCTGAATCTCAGATTCTCTGAACCAGCATTGAATCTTCAGATTCAGATTTGGCTGAATTGAATTGAGGACAGTGATCCAAATCAACTAATCGAATCACTGTCCCTGATTCAGGCCAAATTTGAATCAAATAGGGCCTGTTTTGCACACCCCCATTGGGTACCCTCCCTCCCACTGCCACTGCTGGACTTTCCAGCTGTGATCTCCTCTAGCTGTCCACTCCAGTGAGAAGGAGAGGAGAGGTTAAAGGATCAGGATTGGAGACCCTGGCACCTGTGGTGCCTGAAGCTCCTTGGCCCCTACTGCTGGGATTCCCCACTCCCCTGCCCTTTGGCAGGAGCAGGGGAAGCCCCAAGTCACTGCAGCCCCCTGCAGGACCTCCTGGCTGGCAAACCACAACTGCAAGCAGCCACAGCAGCGCAGCAGTGTTCCAGCTGTGCAGCACCACAACAACTGATGCTATGGCTGAAATAATACCTGTTTTAAACCGTTCCAAGCCAGCAAGAAACATTTACTTCTGTCAGCATCCTCAACATTGATTTATAGCCGTGGTTCTCAACCTGGTTAGACTGAAGGTGCCCCTCATTAAACTCAAACAGAAAAATGCCACCTCTTTGTTTTCACTTGTGTTTTGACTAGGAAAAATGATAGAGTCATCCTGTTGCAAAGCTCAGAAGCTCATAACAGGTCAGACTGTTTTTAAAAATTATTCCTATTTGAAATCTCAGGGTTTGGCTTGTGAATCACGTTTGCACACTTAACGGCACCCTTGAAAGGATCTCAGTTCAACTCAGGGTTCTGCAGCACCTGGATTGAGAACTACAGATTTATAGCTTGTTACCCTTAAGGTTTTGTACTTTAAATAGATGTTATCCTTTGACCATTAATGTGTTGCTTCAGAAGGTGGGGAAAGATTATATATGCGATGGGTAAGAGAAAGCAAGGGAAAGCTGGCAGTGCTATTCAGGAAAGAGGTGGGGAGACTGGTGGAGGTTTATACGGAGAAGATTAGAGCTGTATGTAGGTGGAGGTGGGGAATCAGAGGAGCCAACAAGAAAGCTAACCTGACCACTGCAGGTAAAGTGACGCTGAGAAGAAAAGGTTGGTTGAGAACTGGAAAAGCAGCAAGAGCGGAGTGAGGGCTAGGGTAGAAGGGAAGAAGAAGTGAGAAGGAATGACTCTGAGACATGGGGCATGACAGTGCTAAAAGGGGCTGACTGGGCAGAAGATTTGTGCAGACAAAGGGCAGCAACTTAGCAGGCAGTCCCAGTGACTCCAGTTGTTAGCAAAATATTCCCATGGTTGTTACAGTTGCACATGACTATTAAAATATTTGTTCTTCTGAATAATATGCAGGGAAAAGGCCTCTGCCTTCAGACAAGAACGTTCTGTAAGTTGGTAACAAAGTAGTACCATTTACCAAGATGTGGCCCATGATCCCTTTGCTCCTGTCCATATATTTTGTACCCTCAACCTGGCAGTTAGCCCAGAGGCTCTTCAGGGCAGGGACTGATGTTGCCTTTGGTTTGGAAAGGGACAGATCTGATAAAGTTCTTAGAAGGAAATCAGGTGCCTAGGAACCCCTGCTAGTTTACACTATGTAGGTCTTGGGGGGGTTAAAAGTTCTCTAGGTGCTAGAATTGCACCTCTGCATGTGTCCAGGACTCTCCAGTCTGAATTCACACCCACACCTGGCTGGGTAATTTCACTCAATCCATGGAGAATTATCGCTGAAAGAATCAGGGTAAAACTGCAGCAGTGTATGTTACACCTGGTTGAGGCATTGTCTGTTTCTACCTTATGCCTCTGTAGCCATGTGCTCAAGGTGAACAGGCTACTACCCTCTGCTCCTGCACTACCAAGTGGCAAGGCACAATAATAACAGCCTACAGGCCAATTTATGCCAAGATAAACTGTCCATCTGCCTGGTATACATTACATACCCCTGTATTATTCACACCATTGTACAGAACCCATCTAAATTACAGTGGAGTATGTGATCATCTCTACATTCCCTTAGCACCCCTCTACTCAAAAACGTACTGCAATCTCTTCCTTGTTATGAATGACATTATTGAGCCATACCTGTCACCATGACTCAAAGGAAATAATTGCTTTGCAGGTTTCCAACACCTACTCACAGGGTGGGTCAACAGAAAACTTCTCCACCTGGGGGTGGAGAAAGTGTTTGCTTTTCACCATTAGGGGATAAAGAAAAATCCTGGAAGAGTTTCCAAACCAAAATCTATTCAGTAAACATAACAACACTAATCAGAGTAACTGACTGATTTTAGTGGTGAAACTCTCTAGTTCCAGCTGAAGACAAGCTGTGGATGTAGTGTGCTGCATAGTGAATATGTTAGTGCACAGAATTTTGGAGTGTCCAAATTCAATTAAGTAGGCTAATGGCATTCTTTTATGTGTCTCTTTAATATGTGTTCCTTCCCTTAAAAGGAGGCTAATCAGTGTTAAGATTTTCCAGTTCGGCGTGCAATTGCTGCTTAGTCATTTGAGCAAGTTCCTTTCCTCTTTTCTAATTTTTCCCAAGCTTGGGTATGACTTTAAAACAATAGGAAATGACAAGCCCTATAGTTTTTTTTCTTCTTTCAAAGGATTTCATACTACTTTACTGTACAGAGATGCACGGGGTCTGCACAGGGACAGTGCAGTGAACTCATAAGTATTACCAATAGGAAGTGACATTTTTCCTCCTTTTGTTCTGCTAAATCCCTACAGACTGTAGTTCAAATATTGGAGACATTTTACTTAAAGGCAGGAAGACTGCCTTTTCAGCTTAGATAAATTTCTGATTTAATTTTCTGTTTGATTGAACTAAACCAAACGCGAGCAGGCCGTGAACAATTTTTAGGCAAAGACTGTGAACTTTATCAGACCCTTGCTGAGAATAACTTTAACTCAAATCAGTTGGCTGTACATATATCCTTTAATATTAGCAAATGAAACTGCATTAAAAAATTGTCACAAGATTCAATTAGAAAAACACCTTAACATGCTGTTAATTCTAAGTGGGGATTAACTTTTTCTTACGCATTTAAAGGTTCTTTCATTCTTGTACTTCAGGGATGCACAAAAGTAACAAGGCAGGGGTGGATCCAGGAAAGTGCGATGTATGGTGCACATGGGGAGCTCTCCACTACCCAGAGCTCTGGTCTCTGCAGCTGATCGCTTCCATCATGCACTAGTGAGCGCTCTACCATACTCCCCATTTTCAAAATTTTCCATCCACTCCTGGTCCCAGACAAGTATCTTTTAATACTTTTATTTTTATCCTTTTCACTGCAGTTTGACACTGAAGGCTCCTGGTTTCCTTTGGCATTCAGGTACTAATGCATACCTTCTCTACTTGTGGATTTTTTTTTCCAGTGGGCCAGTCATATGCTGGCTGTACATATGTAAAAAGATCTGAAGTCAGGGCCATACATGTAAAGTAGGGAGCACTTTATTCCTGACCATAGTTCCACTGAAATCAAGGGGCCTGCCTCTGAAGTCAAGGCCTGCTCTCTGTGAGCCAGAAAATGTGCACAGAGCCCTGTGCCTTCAGAGCACGCTGATCTGGCAAAATCATAACTGCCTTGTGAAATGATTGATTTCACTTGAATTTTGTCTTGGAAATGAAAACTGCCAGAACGTCTGTTTCTCCAAAGCTGAAATAAACCAATAGCTGTTTGTTTTAGTTTGTGTTTATTTTATATTATTTTATGTTATAATAAAACAATGAAATTCAAAGGAAACATTTCAAATGACCAGGAATTAAAATTTAGGGGGGAAATTTTCCCTCATAGAAAACTAAAAAATCTGGTTCAAAACAGGCATATTTCAAACTCTTGAATTCTTTTGTGATGCAGCTCTTCTGCCCTCAGCTTTGCCCTTGCCCTTGCGGTTGGATCACAGCCTAGCCCTGTATGTGCTCCCAATGACTTCCAATGCCAAAAAGGGAAGTAGCTAACTACAAAACACAAGGCTTCACTCTGCCTTAGCTTCTAGGCCTTCTGCAGACCTTGGTTACCTCTGGATTTCTTTTGCATACACCTCCTATGAACTAAACCTTTTGAGTTGACTTTGACCCTACCTTTAGCAAGGTCAGTTTGACATGAAATGTTGGGCTTGAAACAGAACAGCCTCAGGCATGTGTGTGTAGCTTTTTGTCATTTTTGCCTCTCTGATAATAAAAAAAAAAATTCTCCCTGATAAAGCACATTGCATTTCCTAAGGGTTATACCAATCTGCACTAATTAACCTGTTAAACAATAAGCCTTGTCAGAACACAAATGCCAGAACAAACATGGTTATCCTATACTTTTCTTACTGCAAAGGTGTATTTTTAACTCGCACATGGGAGTTCAATTGCACATAGTCAAAAAGGTAAAACAAAATACAAGTTTTGAATGCTTGTGGACGTTATTCCTGAATAGGTTGCAATTTAGAGTTTGAAACTGTCCCTTTTATTATATATATATCTTTTTATTTTACAAATAATTATATATAGTTACAAATGTTCCTTCACAGAAGGTACATTCAAAAAAAAAAAGTTTGTATAATCCAAAATGTTTTATTGTTTAGGAATATAAAATGGATCAATACTTCTAGGAGGGGTCATATCCAACCCACTGTTCATCCAGATTTCTTGTATTATCTGTTCTCTGCGTTCTATTCTTTCAGCCAGTTCCGCTGCTTCTGTTGAGTTATAACCTGAGTAATGAGTCCTGCAAAATCCTGTGAGTTCATCTGGAAAGTCTGAATCTGAAGAATCTTCCTCCTCGTCGTTCTCACTATTCCCATCTGCTTGATCGCTTTCCGGCTCAAAGTGAGTTCTGATTCTGTGCAGTCTTTGGAAGTCATTAGTGCATGACACTCGTACCACCAAAGCACACAGTGTGAAGACTAAACCAATGCAGACACTGGATACAAACAGCAAAGCAGCTCTTTCAGGGTGATCTGAAATTAAACACAAAAGGCCAAACTTGAAACGAAGGCAGAGACCAGATGCAAAATGCAGGTACTGTTTCCAAAGAGCCCTGCATTATGTCAGGAAAGGCCAGTGCTTTTTTTGGTATATTCTGCCATAGAGAATCAAATGTGTACTGGGGATCTGAAACCTGCCTATTCTGTTGTTTTTTTTAATTACTGTGCAAAAATACTAACACCCTAACAGCACTATGCCATGTTTTATATAGTTAATACTAGTTTACTAGCACTTAAGCACCCACTAGGGTCTCTGCTACTTTTTTCAAACCCTATTGCTATAGTGGATGTGGCCTAGAAAAAAGGGACATGAGAAGAGAGCCCGTTCTCTGGCTGCAAGCAGTGCACCTTAGGGGCTGTAGTAACCTGTACACAGTAGTAGCATTGCCCTTTGCAACTTCCCCTTCCCCCAAAATGTGTCACCTGCAAAATTGCAAATGCTGAGAATCTGTGCCATAATCTGTAGGCATGACTCTGTGATTGTTAAATCTCATAAGCAAAGCAGAATCAGACCAGGGAGGAAGGCCCTGCAGTGCCTAGGTGTGCTGCAGGTAAAGATGATGATGACTCAGTAAAGAGCACCCTTCTTTCTGATTTAGTATTTAATGACTGCCCCATCTAGTGCTAGGAGGTGCTGTGGTACCTGTCCCATTTCAAATGTGATGCAACTAAAACCCTAAGTGTGTGTTCATTGAAAGTGTTCATGACACCGTCTGCAAGAGCAAGAACATTAGCTTCAGAATTCCACCCAAATGTAAACCCGTGTTAAAGTCTACCTCTCTAAAACTCCCTCTGTGCCTTCTGTCAGCTGATGATATTACAGTTGTTTTTCCAACATACAGTTTTCGAGTATTGCTGAGCTAGAACTCCTGTCATGTTCTACCCAAGACGTGGTAGATTTTTTTCTTATTGTCTCAGTGGCCTGTGTGTGTGTGTAATACAAAATATATGCAGACCAACATTTCCGAAAAAGGATGCCCTGAAGTAGGCTCCTAAATTAGTGGCCTGATTTTAAAATATACTCAATATCCAATTGTTTCCATTGAAAAGACCCATTTTACACATCTTGGAGTCTCTCCCACTCTAAAAGAATCTGGAATCCTTCAAGATGAAAAATGTTATATAGCATATCCGTTAAGCTATAATTGCCTCACCTTCAACACTCATAATCAAAGACAAAAACACCACCCTCCCTTCTAATGTAAAAATTGTCCTACCTCGAATGTAGGCAAATGTAGCCAGAGAGCTGCTAACAATAGTTCCATCTTTCTTTGGACTCCTTGATCCTTTTGGGTCAAAGTTGATATCTGTGAAGTGAAAATGCAAGACTAGTTTAGTCGGATTACATTAGGTTGATGTAGTTACTAAATCATGATTTTCTTACAAATAATTCTTGAACTATTTTTTGTCTAACTGAACTTCTGACAAAAGCCAGTGGTATAAGTGCAAGGACTTTCCAAGCATTAGCTGAGCAGTTTAGCACACCAGATGCTAAAGTTAGTGAGAAAATTATTGCCAGCTGGCAACCACTCATTGGCTTAGTTATAATTCACTATATAATACAAGGATTGATTGGCAGGTAATTGTGCTTTTATATGAAGTTTCCTTATTTCCAGTCTAAGTTTAATAAATTAATAAATACGAATGAAATCTGTTAAGACATAAGATCTACTGCCACTGTGAATGGCTTCTTCCCAAGGAATTTAAGTGGCTGTAGAAGAAGCACAAGAGGACCATCAGTGAAAAAACAGGAAGCATTTTTGTTGCAAGCTGATCCTTCCTTATTAATATTTGTATTACTGAATGGCTTAAAGCCCAGGTCATGGACCTGGACCCCACTGTCCTTGAAGTCATACCTGGTCTTGTATAAGGTAATACATAGGTAACGTATAAGCAGCAGGTTTTTTTTATTCAGAGTGACTTTGGCTGTATGTACAACCACATTGCTTAGCTTGTTTGATCTGAAAATCCAGTTTTAGGCAAAAGCCTTCTCTGTGCTTTAGCACAGCTCCCATTTAAATCAGAAGCTGGAAAATTCAGAAGCTCTGACCTACACTTCACATTAGGGGGGTGAATTCTGAGGAACATAGAGAATTGTAGGCTCCTGGACACATCTACCAGGTGGTCATTAGGAGGCAGAAAGAGGTACTTAGCCATGTTAGTCTGAAGTCAGTCAGAAGGCAGGCAGCCACTGACATGCTGAGGACCTTGATAAGCTAGGTAACCCTTCACTGACCACATCCATTCAGTTTCTAGTTTCCTTTGATAGGTGCATGAAAGACTCCTGGCTACAAGCTTACTGATGTCACCTCTAAAACTTAAAGCCTTGTCTTGCAGTCCTTTCTCAAGACAATGTCCCATTGGTTTCTACAGAGGTTTGACCTAAGAAAGGGACTCCTGGATCTGGCCCACAATAGCTTATTAAAAAGCAGGTCCTAGAGTTTGTCCCTGAATGGAGTTTTTATTTCAGACTCCCTGTGGACTCTCCTGGGGAGGATTCATTCTGTTAGTGACCGTTTACACAACACTCAGCACAAAGTGCCAACTATTCTAGCACATGATTTCATTACTTTTCACCTGCTCTTATCCTATCCTCTGCTGAGATCAATTTAGCTATTTCACTTAAAATAAATTATGATGATGATGCTAAATCAGGGGTGCTCAAGCCCGTGCCCATGGGCCAGATCCCACCTGCAGGTTGTGATCCAGGACAGGGGGCTTTTCAAAGGTCCAGAAACTTGGTGGATGAGGGAAGCAGTGGCAATTGATGCTGCCACCTCTTCTCTGCCACCAACTTTCCAAACCCTGTGGGCCAGATGACATGGCCCTGCATGCACACAGGTCGGTGATGGAGAGCCCAGTTCTGTGAGCTCCAGGGTTGGGGGTGGGCAGCGGGGCCTGATCCTGTACACTCCAGGCTGGGGGACAGGTAGTGGGGTCCAATCCTGCATGTGCCACACTGGAGCCTGGGAGGTGGGGCTCAATCCTGAACCTGTAAGGCTGAGACCAGTGCTAGGGCCAGGGTAGCAAGGCCCAATCCAGCACATGATGGGCTGAAGCTGGGGCTGCGGGACTGATCCTACATGGGGCTGCGGCTATCATATGGTGTGTGGGACCAGGGCCTGATCCAGCAAGTGACAGATTGGGCCCTGTCCCATGAACAATGGACCAGGCTCACAGAGTGGATCCAGCCCACAGAGCCACTCTGCACCAGTCACCTGGCCCAGGGAACAAAAAGATTGAGCACCACTGTGATAAACCACAGAACTTACCATATTCGCTATCTTTCTGATTCAGAGTAGGATTTAGATTAGCAACCATGGGATCAACTGCTGTAAGTATGATTTTAGGAACTAAAAAGAGGAAAGGAAAATTGCATAAATGGTAATGTTAAGAATGTTCCATTGTCCCTAAATGTTACCTTAAACACACTGAAGGCAAGACAAATGCTTTATAAACTATGTCCCAAAATAATAATCAGATACATGATTGTTGTTGGTATCATTGTCATTGTCATTATGTTTGTTTTTTTGGTAGTGCCAAGGAGTGAACAGGAAAAAGAAAGAGTCAGAATTGTGAGAAACATCAAATTGTGATAAGAACGTAATTTTTAGCCACAAGGTATTTGAAGTTCATCCATGTGAGGTGCTTTAGTGACAGTGTGGTTGTTTTCACGTAAGGGGTGGTGTGCCAGGCAGAAAGAGCTCTTAGCATAGGTGGTTTGAAACTCTTCTTTTTAATTAACTTTGTTCTCATGCACTTTCTTTGGAAGCTTTCACGCTCTTCACGAAAGGATTAAAAAGAGCTAACAGAAAGCACACCATGTACATGGCCAGAGAGCACACATTCCATGTCAGATGAATGAGTCCTTCAGACATCCTGATCTTGGCACCTGTTCTCTGTGCTAGATGAAGACAGACTGATGGATTTTCAGGCTGATTTGGGGAAAAAAATGGAAGAAATTTCAAGTATGAAGCTCACCTCTATCCCCCATACATACATTTGCCAATAAACAGTGTAAAAGGCTGATGGGAAAAGAAAGGGAGGCTAAGCTTGGGGGCTGAGAGTAGAGAGCTTCTCTGACAAATAAAAATAGCACTTCTCACTGAATACAAGTTCTCCTTGTGTTGGGGCTCAGAGTCCAGGTTGTTTCCTTTACTGTTAAAGGACTTTCCCCCCCGTTAGCATTGCAAAACCCATCCATATATAAAAGAGTGAGGTGAGTTCTGTGTTAGCTTGCATATCTGAATTTATAAGCAAGTTCTGATTCAGAATCATTTTTGTTGATGTGTGAATTGGGAAATGCACTGCTTGATTTTCAGATCGCAAGCTGGATTTGCCAGGCTGGCAGGTATGAGAAAGACTAATGTGTTTACTTGAGATAAGAAAATATGATCTAAAATATTGGAAAGGCATCAGACGAGGAATCCCATGGTACTGTGTTTATAAATGAGAGCTAGTAAGATATTATCAGGATAACACTTATGTTCAAAAGGGCCAGAGGCCCTATGGTGTCTGTTACTAGAAAGGATGCATATGTTATTATGAGAAGATTGTTACCACAAGGGATGCGTCTCTAGGGAATAATTTGATATCTTTATTTTAGAGAGACAGCTGTTTCAAAAGAGGAGGTAGAAATCTATGAAATGGAATATATTTTGAGAGAGAAAGAGAGACTCAGCATTGCTCAGGGAAAAAAAAAGTAATGTTACGTTTATATTTCACAGATCAATCATTATGACCACATCAGTTATTTATCTTGAAATTTTAAGATCTCCTAAGAGCAATGTTTTCATGAAAGGGGGAGGTCTAAATATTCTGTCACATACTGGTCTGTGCTTTAGCATTCTCTAGGAGGAAATAAGTAAAGCTAGAACCCTGTATGCTACTCTGTCTGAGTGCCTAGGTACCTTGTCTGGTGAAAATGATTTGGGTTTACTCCTTTCTGACAATCCCTACAAATATGAAGGGGATGAAGGCCAGGGATTGCTCCCCAGGTCACCTTCAGCCACAAGGTATTTGATTTCTCCCTGAGGAGCCTTTTCTTTTTCTGGAATAAGCTACTCCCTTTGCTGCCAAGTCTCACTTCTCCCTGTTAAGTGTGTGTAGGGGAAGTTTGAAAGAAAATAATTTGTTAATCATTTGCTTCTGTATGGCCCTGATTCAGCAAAGCACACATACATTTGCCTAAGTCTGTTTTTATTCAGCACAGCATAACAGGCAGGCTTCATTAGCCACAGGTAGATAAATGCTACAGTGTATCAGGGTTTAGGAATTTGTTACCTTGTTGGGAATTGTAGTGTCTATGCAAATGCAAGTCAGTGATTACTGAAGCAAAGAAGCCCGTTTCCTTGTCATTCTCTAAGAACGGGTCTACGCAACATCTGACATCACACCCTATGGCCCCCACAGCTGTCCCTGATTTAGTTCCCTGACTGCTGGTGAAAGTGTGCTTCTGTCCACTTAGCTTGGGCCCATTGGAGAGGCTCCTAGTGCCAGACGTTGTATCCTTACTATGGAACTGTGCTGACACAGTTGTGCCTGCAGAGCTACTGTGGCAGAGGCTCCATAATGTAGACAAGCCCTACTTATAGAAGCAGGTCTGCACCACTGAATCCTGTGCTCCATCAAAGTCCAGGGGTGTCAAACCCCTTTAACTTTTCACAGGCTAGACGAAGCACTTCTGGCTACTGACCCCACCAGCACAGCAGCTCTGGCAGCATTAGGGGTTAAAATAGCCTGAACATATCCCACTTCTACAGAACTGCATTCCCAATGGGGATCCCTACAGGAGTAGTTTAATGGCAGGGTGAGTGGTGGCAGTGTTAACCCCCCAGATGCTGGCCCTAACAGTGTTGTGGCTTGACAGCCACAAGGGTTATTTCCTCATCCTACAAATGAATTTCTGGTCTCGTAGGTTGGAGCTGGAGGTGAGTCCGCCAGACCATGAGTGAGTCCTCCAAACCTTGACCCCTGTTCAAGTTATTCTTCAGTAATACTAGTCATATTCTTGTTTGAAGTACAGTTCCAAAAAAACCAAAGGAGCTCATCCAGCTCCCACTGCTTAGCCAAGCCTGTTGCATGTCACTTCTAGAATTTTTGATAGTTTCCTATCTCTTGATCTTACTTATCTCTAAGGTCAGATCCCAGACTTCACTAAGGCCTTGGTATGAGATAAGGCTTTATGGCTAAGAGCTATGACATTTCCTGTTTTTGGAAAGCACTTTCCAACTCTCAACTTCTTATTCTTCTCAAATCTCTGCTGAGCTCAGACTGCTCTTGAGTATCTGAAACCCTTGTGAAGCCTTCAGTTAATCCTTTGCAGAAAACTTCTCTTCTCCATCTGCCCATGGTGGCACAACTATTCCATTTCTTTCAAAAACCTTATCTCCACATGTTTCCTTTCATAAAGCCATTCTCACACCACCACTTCTTCCTTTTATTCCTAAAGTCATCTCACTGATATCTGAATCAGCACCAGCTCCTTCCTTCTTGAAAAACACCTTTTATATTCTTAGGACTTCTTAGGGCTTGTGATGCAGTTTGTGAGCTCCATGCAATATAATATTGTCTAGGACCTCAGGTTACATTCAGACAGATGTCCCTTTAATAAAAACTAAAAGCCTACTCTGCACATCTGAGGACTATAAAGACGGCAAGCCAGGACACAAGAGTCAGTCCAAGTTGAGAGGCCAAAGAAGAACACACTCTCCAAGTCACTCAGATTGTGGCTGGACAGCTCCCAGTGAACAGGCCTTGTAGACCTGTTCTGGAGGAGGTGATGTTTAAGACTGGCCATGAATCATCAAAAAGAAGAGGAATACTGGAGAGGTAAAGACAAAGGACTTTGGGCAACAGGTAAAAATTAGCCCAGGGAATATGGCACTGAGTGGGGCAAACCTACCAGGTCCCCTAGTGATGCCTAGGGCCCTGGGCTGGGATTCAGTGGAAGCTCAAACCTGGGGCACTAAAGGAGAAAGAGGCGTTACAGGAACAGATAGCTGAGGCAACACATGCACTGGACACAAAGCTGCAGAAAGAAACATGTATTTTACCAAAGAGAAGGTCCATAAACAGTGACTAAGTGAACTTAAAAAGGAGGGAGAGCCCATCTCCTTCTTTCAGGGCTCTAAAGTTTCATCTCCACAAAGATGAGTCTCCAAATGTCTGAGTCCACAATTTCCTGGTGGGTTGGAATGCCTGTGTAGCTTGGCTGCCTGTTACAGGGGGATGCATAATGCCAACTGAAGAATAAAACCTCCAATTGCTGACAGGATTAATTTTTAATGTAGGTTTATGAAGACATTTCTACTAATAATAGGCTTTATAAAATTAACATTTTTGCTTTGAGGCTGCTTCTTTCTTCATATGGTTTTGAATGTAGTAGGCTACTAACAATTTAAACTAATGGATAGCATAATATTTCATCATGTGGTAAAGTCTGACCATAAGTGTATGTATTATTTGCATATTTTACTCTGTCTCCAAAATGTGGCTTTTTCATTTGGCTTCTAAACGAAGTGGGATGAAGGGATCCCATATTCTTAGGTCTGGTCTAGGCAGAATTTTGTAGAGGTGTAAACTGGTTGGACCCGGATGTTATATTACTGGGTAATACCAGAGGAAGCTTAGGGGTCCAAACACAGTCAGACCTGCAGGATGATGAGTTAGTGGTAAACACCAGGTAGTACATTTGAGTTCATCAGGTCTAAGAGTGAAAGAATTGCAAGGTTCCATCCTGAGATAAATGATAACTAATTGTGCTATGGTGTTGCAGAGAGACCAGCAAAAGTACTGAGGTGCCAGGTGGCCCCATACCCATGACAGATAGCACTCTCTCCTTCAGGAGGAGGAGGAAGGAGATAAAATGAAATTCTGAAACAAAATTAGAAATAGTCTTAAAGGTATTTTCTCTGCAATGAAGTCTCAGACCTTTGTGGCCTGCTCCTTGTCCTAAATAGGTCTGCAATCTTTTTTAACAAACCCAGGGCTTAAGAAAGTGACCTGCTGGTGAATGTCACCATTCTTGTTACCAGTGCAGTGTGTACAGATTCACTTCCATTTGGCTGCAACAGGCAACTTGATTAATCAGTGCAGCAAACACCAAGCAAAATGAAATTGGATTGAATGCCATGATCTCAACTGTGCTTAAAAAATATTTTTTCTTGCATCTGTCTGCCTTTGAATGTTCTTTTACCAAGAGGAGCCCCTACCACGTGTGTGTGTGTGGAATTTCAGGAATTCCCAAACCTGTCCTTTCTCATGGTCACTAGATGATCTGTAAAATAATTAGATCTGAAAATCACTTACTGATGCTTCAGATTGCACAATTTAGTGGTAGTTGGCAGAAAAAGTCCTTATAATATGCCAGCAACACAGAGGCATGTTATCTTCTACCCTATGTATCCTGGCAACGTCACTATACCAACAAATAGTAGCAGTAATGTCACCACGTATGAACCTCAATTCTACCACCCTACCAAAGGTGTGTAGAATAAAGTGTAAAATGTGATTATTGATGTAATTAATTCATAAAAGGATCCAAGGATGTTATTGCTCAAGCTTTGCACTGTATGTATATTATGTGCATATCCCCTCTCAAATAAGATACACACCTTGGTTTGGGAAGGCAGAATGAAGGAAAAAGGATTTTTACAGAGTTTTCCCCGTCATGGCACCAGCTCAGCCAGGGCTGAACCCTCTGGCCATAGGGAACAAGGACAGAATCCCATCATGAGCATCACTCCCTTCCCTTGCTTTTTGGCCAATATAGCTACTGCCAATTCAGATACATCTCTGAGAGGGTTAAACCTACAGCCTTAAATCCAGCAGGGAGAGGGGGAGTGACAGTGGTGATAGGACTCTACCCCTGCTCCATGTGACCAGAGCAGGGGTGTGAGTACTGAGGAAATAGAGAATTGTAGTCGGGGTACCTGTACCAGGTAGTCACTAGGATACAGAAAGAAGTAGTTAGCCATGTCAGTTTGAAGTCGGTCAGAAGGCAGGTAGCCATTCACATACTGAGGACCTCAATAATCCCTAAGCAACCTGGTGCTGATCACAGTCCCCTGCTGCCATTCCAACATTCCCCTGCCTCCATTCTGGCACAGAAATTACTTTGCTTGCTTAAGACACACACAGGGGACCCTTTGATTCCTGGTCCACCCAAAGTTCAAAATCAACCGCCTGGCAGTGGCAGCAGCACTTCAGGTCTCACACTGCTAATGGAGGCACTTGACTTCATGATTCATTATAATCTACCTGATCCCTTCTGCATTCTTCATTCCACAGGTGTTAAGGACCCCTTCTTTTTAATGGTCCTGATGTTCCACCAATCAAGCTATCCTTTGTTCTGTAATTCTGCTGCCATATAGGATCACTCTTCTCTGCTCTTCAAATGCATAGTTCGTGTATCCAAGGTAAAAACTAATCCCAGTTGTCACCTACTCTGGCACCTTTCCAAACAGAAAGCTCCAACAGAGGTAAAGCCCAAAAATTCAGTGTCTGCCCATGGGGTTAATTCTTCATATTCCTCACATGAAAAGGAGAAGCCCAGGTCAGCTCTCTCTGCATGTGCAGTATGTGGCCTTCAAACCTCCAGGACTGCAGAGCCTCAGTGATATTGGCAAGAACTGGTGCCTCCTTCCCACCAACAGTTTACTTCCATTGGCTTCCCCTGTTATCCTTGCATCCTCCCTCACTCCTCAGGCCATGGAGAGAAGAATGGTGAGGAGGCAGGGGGAGAAGTTAATATTAATTCCAGTCTCTGGAGTCTCTTGGAGAGAGGCCAAAGCAAAGCCCCACGAAAAACTTAATGGAAGCACATGCAGGGCATGGCATAGGTACAATGTACTGTATTGTGAAAGGGATTTAGACTTGACTGCACATCCTCTATTTCATGGTAACTGCTCTGTTTCATGTGAATGCTCTTACACCACAATACGTGGAGGCTAAACTGCAGTAGTTTAGCCTTTGATGGGCACGTCTACATGTGACATTAGGGGGCAGCAATAAACTACAGAGCTTATTGCAGAGCTTATGGCTCTGCAGTTTATTGCTTCTGGGAAGCTCCCCCACACACGTCTGCCTGTGTGCCTGGGCTGCAGCACATTAAACTGGGCCACAGCAGCCCTGGCTGGCAGGGAGTCTGGGGAGTCCCCTGCCAGCTCAGGGCTACTCTGACCAGGCTCAGTGTGCTGTGGAGGGGCTGGCTGGGGCACAAGGGTGTTTCAGTGTGGGGCTAGCTGGCAGGCAGCCCCTGCACTGAAGCACCCGCATGCCCCAACCAGCTGGTCAGCATCTACACATGCGCTGCTGTGCACAAAAATACTCTGCAGCAGGATAGGACTTGTATTTAAAAGTCCTATCCTGCTGCAGAGTTTATTAGTTTCATGTGCCCTAACAGGGGTCCATGTGTAGATGCCGAAACATTTATTGCATGGTTAATTAGGCAACTGCACAGTAAATGTCCCATGTAGACGTGCCTGATGAGAATTAAGTTACTGCAGCATACCTCCCACTTGCCATGAGACAAAAGGATACATGCAGGCAGTAACCTCAGAGTATCTTATGCATGATATTTTTAACCATCAACTTCATTCCTGTTAGGCACTGTCATTAATAAACTTTTCTTTTAAAAGAGAGAGAATCAGAAAATTCTACACACGTACAATTTAAGTATAATAAACAATGATAAAAAATAGGGGGGAAACCCTGTTTTCTTCTGTTTGAGAAATGGATTTAACTAAGTCTCGATCCTGCAAAAGGATAATTTCAGATTCTTACTGTTAATCAGGCTGTGTCCAGGAGAAAAGAAATCCCTTTGAAGAGCTGAAGGCCTGAGGTGTGCCCATGTAGATCAGGTTTCAGGACTGGTGCCTGTGTACAGTGCTGTGATTGTGCTGAAGTGTTTTACAAGGGCTAACGCAATGCAATGGTAATTTGTTTGCAGTTAGCTTAGCCATAGGTGAATCATGTGGAATGCATTTGTCAAGCTTATATTATAGTGATTTAAATGTATGTCATGGTAAATCTCTAGCTATGCAATTGTAGCCACATCTCTGGTATTAGTCCTGGAAGGGTGCATCTACACAAGACACTAACTGCGCAGTAGCCTAATAGCACTGTGCAGTACCATGCTGGGCAAAAACTGTGCTAACACGCTAGTGCACAGTAGTGCAGGCAACCCCCACTTAATGCTGTTTTGCTTAGCACTATTTTGCTATAACACTTGTTTTATATTGATTCCTGATTCCACTTAGTGTTCAGTGAGTTTCATTATAATGCCCACAGTCGCCATCTTGGTTCATCAAAAACTTTTGGTTTCACTTAACACTATTCCCCTTAATACTTGGTTTTTCAGGAACCAATTAGAAGCACTAAGCAAGGGTTGCCTGTATGAGGCTACTGCGCAGTAAGCATCACTAAAAAGCCATGCGGTGGTGCTACTGCTCATAGTTTGAGTTACTGAGCATTCATTTAGCATTTGGTTAACCAAGTACTAATATGACTACATCCTGCTTAGCACCAAACAACTTCAAGGTAAACAGGCTATTCTAACTTTTCTCTGAGCCTAACTGCAAATAAAATGAACTGTTCCAAACCAGAGATATTACCACACCTTCAACTCTCCTATGAAATATGAACTTTTATTTCTACTCAGGAGAACTTACAACAATCTTTTCTCCTAGCCTGATGAAAGGTGTTTGTGTCCAAAAGCTTGCAATTAATTTTTTTTTTTTTTGCAAAAATCTAGTTGGTCTAATACACGGTATCACCTCTACCACAAGTTTTGATTGCTTTTGCCTCTAGACCAGTATGGCTAAAACCTGGATACCAGTAATTACAGCACATTAATAAATGTAGACACACCCTAAATGTCATAGATTTGCATATGCTAGGAACAAAGGTCAGATCTGAGGATCCAGTCCTGTGCATGTGCACACACATATGCATATGCAGTTCTATATTACACTTATGCTCTGCAACTAGAGTGAAGTCTTCAAAGTGATCACATATTTGTTCTTACCACATGTGTAGTTGACGTTAAGGTATTTTTTCACTCCAGGAAGGCAGGGACTTCCAAAATCATTGTGGCTGACCACAATCTTACACCTTTGCTTCCCATAACATCTTTTTGATAAAACATCTAAAGCTGTGTAAGACAAACAGTCTGAAAGGAAAAAATATATACAGTGTTTATACATACATATACTTGTGTTCTCAAAGGCAATATTTACTACATGTGTATTCATGGACCTGAACCTGACATTGATACTCAGGCAGAACCCCTACTTGATTTCAGAAGATGTCTGGCCTAAGTAGAATTTCTGAATTGCATCTTAAGACTTGTGTATGTGGAGCAGTTGGTGCATGGTAAGCTAGTATGTGAATTAACAGCTCACTAGCTCCTCCATGCCAACTCACCATGTAAACACTATCAATTAACACTAAGGATGAGGATAAGGTTCTGAATGACTGGAAAAGGGCAGAGTCCCCACCTTCAGGAAAGGGAAGGAAGAGGATCCAGAGGACTGCAGGCCAGTCAGCCTGACCTTTATACCTAGAAAGCTCATGGAGCAGGTTCTCAAGGAATCTGTTGTGATGCACCTAGAAGAAAACAAGGTGATCATCAGGAACATCCAGCATGAATCAAGAGCAAGCCATACCTGACCAACCTGATTTTTTTCTATTATAAGGAGAGAGAGGCTCTGTGGATTGGAGGAAGAGCAGTGGATGTGATACACCTTGCCTTTAGCAAGGCTTTTGACACTATCCTCCATGACATTCTTATTAACAAGCTAATACAGACTAGATGGATGTACTGTAAGGTAGACGCATAGCTGGTTGGATCATTATGTTCAATGAATAGTCATCAATGGTTCAATGTTTAGTTGGGAGGAGGTATCAAATGGGGTCTCCCAGAGGTCTGCAAATAGAATGAAGTCTTTTCCATTGAGCATGATGATCCAACCAGCTAAGTATCAATCTTACAGCACAATACGGTACCACAGAGCTCAGTGCAGACTAATCACTGAAGTATTTTACTTCACTTCTCAAGCTGATTTTGCAGCTTGTTCTGAACTCATGTTGCTGCAGCCAGTACTGAAATACCTAGTTTAAAGGTGGCTTGGATACATCTCAATTACACTAAAGTCACAGCACTCATTGCACTGTGGACATACCCTTAGGGTACCTTTGAAGAATCAGAAAGGATTTGATTTGTAGCAAAAATAAGTCACTTTTAAAAGAAAAGGGAGATTTAAGAAAACAGGGATTTACTGTTGAAATTCTTAACAAAGAAAACTCAAGTTTCAAGATTGGTCTGGAGCCAGAACAAATTTGTCATTGATCGATTTGATGCTGTCAGAAACAGATCACAGGTAAACATCTATGAATAAGTGATAGGCCTAAGATCACAATCAGGAGGTCCAGCGTTACTATGGTGTATGTGAGGGGTAGTTGCTTTGTTTTTAGCAAATGACTTGTGGGTGATATTAAAATATACTTTCCTTTTAAATCATTCCAAACTATGCAAATAAACTGTTAATTCCCCAAACTCAAAGACTTTTGACATACGTTGGTAGACCAAAATCTTTAGATTGGGAGGTCTTCTGAAAACCTTACATGTTATGTCTGTCACAGTGAAATTGCATCAACTCACAACTTCCTAAGAGAAGAGCTTTAATTAAAAGGACTTGGCTGTTTTAGACTCTCACCCTTTGGTGATCTTGGACCTTAGAAGACTAGAGTAGATTGGGTTGGATATGTTTTGGACTGTTTAGGCAGAAAATAGAATTTATCTTGGCAAGTCTGAGGGGCACCAAGGAATCTTTTATGGAGATGTAGCAGAAAGCCCCCTTTTCCTCTTGCCTGCAGTTGCTCTCCCCTCCTTGGATATGTTTTTCCTCTTCTACCTTTTCTTCCTTCCTCTTTCTTTCACTTTAAGATAAGGAATTGTGTTTTGAAATTTGTGTGTGTGCATTTTGTATCTCCCCTTGTATTTTGGTATTTTTATCTATTTGTGTGCCATAGCATTACTTTTGTAGCTTATATTTTATACTCCTCACCTTTCAACTTTCAACTAAATGTGTTTAGTTTCATAAGTAAGTTATACATTGTAACAGTGTTAACAAGGGCAGGAATCAAACTGCCCTTCCCTGTATCAGGCTGGCCCCTGAAAGAGCGAGTGAATCAGTGGCTGAATGTGTAACACTGTAGCAGCAGGCAGCAGTTAACACCTAAGGAAACTGCAGATCAACCAACAGAAGAACTCAATAGAAGACAATGTAACAACCGGGAAATCTCTAAACGTCACTGATCAAGGGCTAGAAGCCTTGGCCTCAGTTAATCAATGCCGGGGACCAACTTTTGGGCTGAATATCTCCAGATCGACCGCTGCCAGAGCCTTATTCAAAATTCATCAACAGACTCCCAAACCTGCACGTACATGCGGACGACCCCTGGGGCTGACAGATGCCATCCAGTAGCCACCGAGGGGGGAAGTCCCACGAGGGTCAATGACCCCTGGATTGGGCAA